TACTTTGAAAAAAATAGAATTTGTAAGTTGCTTATTTTGAAATAAATACGGCACTTATTTTATCTGAAATCGGACGCTGAATCATTAATTCTGAAACCCCCTATTACCGTTATTGCCGCTAATAATTGTGAAATTCGATACGTAACTTATTCCAGTTTTTCTCTGTGCAAAATTCTCATTTGTGCAATTTACGTCATCACTAATTTATCATCTTTTTTATAGTTGATGACGTAAATTATACGAATTTAAAAAAATAGTATAGTCGTCAATAACTACGCAATAACTAACCTACTGTCTCTACAGCTTATTTACATATTTATAAATTTCCTATATATAATTATATAATTTATTAGGGTAATAATATAATAGGTCGCTGAAAATAATTATTGTTTAAGTTTTCTAATATTTATTTGCTAAAAATTTTTTAATGTCGATAATAATAAAAAATTATAGTGATAAGGATTGTGCAAGATCATATGGGAACCTCCGTAGCAAAAGGTGGCAATGAGCCAAAAAAATTTTTTCTTAAAAATGCAATTTCTCGAAGAATTAGAGTAATAGGCATATAATTTTACAAAATTACAAAATAAAAAATTTTGGCCCATTGCCACCTTTTGCTGTGGAGGCCCCATATATTGAAGGAGACATTTAAGAACACTGCCTCCCATTTTTTCCATCAAAATAATACAGTAATTCAGTTGATCCGTTTATTCAAATTTAAACTAATTAAATCTGCGTTGGCCCTTTTGAGTGAAGTGCTTTGAAAATCAGTTAAATACAAATTAAAAATAAAATACAAGGTAACCTAATACGTAATATATAATTTATCGTTCTATATTTGTTAACTCAGTATTCATTTCTTAATAACCAATTATGATTTCTAGCACGAATTCACATATCTTGGTTTAAAATTGAATATATGTGTCTACAATAAATTAGACTTTAAACAAAATCTAGTAGATGGTATGAAAATTCAGCGACACATTGTCATTTGAATGAATAAAATTATGATGGAGAGAGAGGTGCGCTGAAGTAAGAAATTTGTAGACACTCATGGACTCTACCTAAACCTAAAGAATTGAAGATCAAATAATCAGGTGCAATATTCGCAAATCCTGCGCTACAATCTGGACAATTTTCATGAAAAAGGCTAACGAATGTTGGCTCATGACATGTCCATAGAGGTTTCGTCTGTGCATTATAAAAAACTGTAGATTTATTAGTAAAACCATTCAAAAAACTTTTTTCTCTGTTCAATTTTAAATAATTGTCTTGAGTGATCGAAATAATGCTGTTTATAAAGATGTTAGTTTATTGGTTAATTTATATTAAATATTAGAGGATAAAAGTGTCGGCAAAACGACGTACCTGCAATTAATAAAAAGGTCAGTCAATTTTCCTTCCAAATTTTTCTTATGCAAAGTTTCCGTTTCAAGATCGTATATAAAAAAACATGCTTTTAATTGAGAATCATTAAGACATGAAAAATGAACACCTGTCACTAACATTGAGTCTGTTGGATGGATTATATCTTGCTGTGGTGCTTGTTGTGCGCATGCTACCAAAATACTATGATTTTTCTGAAATTGGTCATAAATGTTAATTTGGTGGCCATTATGTGGGGCAGACTCTTTTTTGCTATTGATGATGCGGAAATTACAATCTTCATATTTAAAATCTGCTGGTTTGCCAACAATAACCCATCCTATTTGCAGGTTAAAAACCTTGTCCTTTTTTTTCTTTGATTTCTTTGATCTTTTATGGATCCGATGAAGAACTACGCTAGCAGAATTATTTGATGTATATAAGACAATACGTGTAGAAAATACTTTTTTATTTTTATTCTTATTCTTATTCGTAGCATTCATAACGGATGCAAAAATTTGGCACTCTTTTAGATCAACATAGCTTAGATCTGATGGCATGCTTAGTTTATGCTCATATGAAAATTTAGATGGTGACATGACAACATCAACTGAGTCTATTTTACTATAAAGAACTTTTTTCCCCATTGCTTCAAGAACTTGTTGACGAAGTTCTGAGTTTAGAACATCGAATATTGGAATAAATTCAGTATATTCAATAACTTGCCAGGTGGTATAGTCATCTAAAGAATCTTGCCATAAGGCTATGTTATCTTCTTTAAATTTATTTTCGTCTCCTCCATAAAAACGAATGCATGTTTCATTATTTGACATAGATGAAGATGTGTTGTGTCCATTTACATTACTATAATTACCTCCTATGCTACCAACAATAGTCGATCCGATATTTCCACTGGCGGACGTATTTGTTGAAATTTGTTGTGACGAGCTTGACATATTGTAATATTCGATTTTGTGTATTCTTCCGCCGATTTTAACTTTGCTAGCTATACATTCTCCAAATTTTTCGCACACTCTTTTGAGTTCATTTACAGGATTATTACTTTGCAAAGCAGAATTTACCTCCTGCATAAAAATTTCGGTTGGTTGTACTTTCTTAATATCAATTTCTATCTCGTACCTTGAAAATAATCTTATATTATATTTAGAAGAAAATTCTCTGTTATTTGAATCATTAGTTTGACTACCATGCGAAATTGTAAAACCAACTGATAAATGTGATGGCATAGCTATTGAGATTTTCCCTTCTGCCACTAAATTTTTGCGCAAGAAATTCTCATGTTTACTTATACATGTCCCTTCATATTTATATTCAGCGTAAAATTTCCTCAATTTAACGCTTTGAGTAATATCTTGAGAAAATTCAAATGCCAACTCATTAACATTTTTAGGCCCATCCTCTGTCATTCTTATTCCATAATTTAGCTTACATCTATGTGTAGTATCATTAATATTGGGATCAATTGACCTTTCAATCTTTAAAACATATCCATCATGCAAGTTTTCTCTCAATAATTCATTGCTTTCTTCATCACGTAAAATTATTCCATACGGACCAACAAAGTTCATATATTCATAAATGCTAATTTGTTCCTCAGAGTTTGATAGTTGTTCTCGCACCTCTTTAAGTGTTGACTCTTGGTTAAGTCTATCATAAGTTACGGGTGCTTTATTATCAATCTGGATAGAGAGTTTATTAGTTGGATTAATTATATTTTTCTCAAGATTGCGCACTGTATCCTTTAAAGACATTGTTATTGTTAAACTTATTTGAACATTGTACTGTACGTATTTATTATTAGTCACAGGGTTCTGTCATAGGTTTCACAACCAGGAATTAGTTACAAACCCAGTATGCTGGACAATCCTCGTACGTACGAACAGTACGTACAAGAAATCTAAAATCCACAACTATACCTTATATAGAAAATTTGAAATCCTAAATCATGCGGAATGATTATAATCACGTGATCGAAAGGTGAAGCAGCCACACAGCCGCGCCACTTCATATGACGATATTCCGTGAATTCCGTGATAATTGGCCAATAAAAATGCATAATTTTTAAAAAGATTTATCGTTTTAATACTACTAGAAAAGAAGCTTACAAACTAATAAATGCATAAAAAAATATTGTTACATTTTAAAAATAGATAACGCGTAAATTGATATTTATTACTAATAAACTCAAGCTTCAAATCGATTAAAATCTATATGTGAATAATTATTAACGAAGCTATCTTTCATTCTACTGTATATTTTGAAAAGTAACTCCGTCCTATTTTTAATTACCATGACCTTTATTAAAAAATGCGCATAACCCTAGCCCATAAAACAATAACACTTATAACACTTATACATATTATCGACCTGCTACTTAACCCAAAGCTACATTTATTACTCTAGCTCTAGTAATCTATAAACTTAAAATATACTGTAAACATTAGTACAAGCATATTATTACTACAATATATATCACATTAAACAGTACATTAAAGTTCTAAGTTTAAAGCTTACATGTAATGTCTCAATCTTCTTTTTTTATTGACCGTTTTTGGCATTTAAAACTTACATAGTAAAAATATTCGCTCCTAAGTGAAGTTCTTGGAGAGGTGGATTATTTTGGATTAATTTTAACAGTGAATATCTACGTTCGTTTAGAGCTAGAATTTGCTTTTACGGCGATTTTTTGGTTAGTGAAATGTTACGTTTCCAAAAAGTACTTTAAGTGTATAAATAAGTTACCCTGACAATTGATTTACATCAGCCAATCAGATGAAAGCCGTCCTATGACGCATCACCACAACCGCAAGGTGTACGTATCACGAAATACCGATTGCCGAAAAGGGAATGCGATTGAAGGATTGAAAATCATTTGCAAGATGCAACAGCATATGTCAACTTAACGTAATGGACGCAAACGCCATACAACTGGAATATGCAGGACGAAATTCGTATTTATAATCAGGGGCCCGAGCTCAGTTCCATTGGTATCAAACCCACAACAATCAGAATTTTTCGAACCGCCTGCCCGTCCACCCTATTGGATGACCACGTGATTCTACCATCTCTCCACCCGCACATGTTTTATTTCTCTCCCGTTTCTCTACTCGCAGCCGGCCTGCTTCGGCAGGCAGGAAACCACCGGCTAGCTAATGCTACGGCGACTCCTAGCGTAATAATCATTGCAAACTTCTCGGGATGTCATTGCCGTTCGGACCAACCTCGGCCAATCACTCACTTCATCATCATCTTGTACTAATTACAGAATTATCATTCAATTGCCTCAATAAAAATCATCTCTGGTCTAAACCGGGATGTGTAATGCGATACGTTTCGTTAACATCAATAAAGTGTGTATGTAAATACTTTTTTGGATTGATATTTTAAGAAATATGAATTCTAGTGTACTACAGTACTTTATCTGCTTGGCATAATTTTAACATATAATCAAGTTATACGTATGTACGTACATTAAATTAAGTTTTGACTTAAGGAATACAGTATCGAGTATTTAATTTTATAATTGGTTATATTTTACCTCTATAAGGTGTAATTGTTGTTTTTACTTGCAACGTACGTATGTAGCACAATATTTACTATGTAACTCAGGGTCGATCTGTCCAATAAAAATATGAAATTTATCGATCACATGCACCATTTCTAATTCAGTTTTACAGTATAAAAGATTTTTAGTTTCTAAGTCAAGGTTATCTCACGACCCAACAGTCATAATTTGATGAATGTTATACCATTAGGTCCATCTTATTGGGACGAATCTAATGGTATAGAAATTATTAAACCCCATAGTTCCTTGCTACCATGTTATTTAATTGGTAAGTTTTTGAAAAATCACAAAAATAAAAAGTACTTTAACGCATATAAAAAAAGTTTTTTTTTATTCGAACCGATCATCACCAAATTTGGGTTTGTCCACCATGTTTTCCAATAAAATTTTTACTTTTAAGGTACAGCCAACCCCAATTCCCGTATCGGTATGTCTATGGCCTTCTCTTAAATAGGCCACATTCACAGAAATTTTTACTGCGACTAACGAATATGGATGCGGAAGAAGAATCATTTGTAAAATTATTAAAATTGAACCATTGTTTTTATTATAAAAACAGAAATTTTGTGCCATCTGATCGAATTGTTGATGGTGGAAAGCTAACTTTGGAAAAATATACTGGTGACCTATTGGTTTATCAACGGATTCCGAATGATGTAGTATCATCTAAAACAACTTGGGAGCTTTTCGAAAAAGCCTTTTCTGCTTTAATTGACAAATCACAAAATACTCGGGAAACAAATTCCAATTTTTCTGAAAATGATGTTAAATTATTAATTCCGATTTTAGAAATTACATATGTCACTACTTCTGTTCAGTCAACCTCAGTTGGAGAATTTCTTTTCGAAAAGGTATTAGTTGGTGGAGCTTTAGTTATAAAAAATATTTCTGAATATTCGGATGATTCTTTAAATCAATTGAAAGCACGAATCGCATGGACAATCAATGAATTTCGTTGGGGTCACAAGAATTTGTTCAGAGAAGCCGGTGAGCTTCACTGGGATCATAAGAATTCATCTAAGGAAGAAAAAATAGTTTCTATTGAAGATTTATCCGGTAATCAATTGAATGATATGAAATCATTGGTAAGAAGAGATATACCATTTACTAATGTATACTGGATCTTATTCAAGATATAAATATGGAAGAATTGCTTAAGGCTATTCAATCCATAAACAATGAATAATATGGTTATAACCATGAGAACCCTTTTTTTCGGTATACAGTGGCAAACAAAAGTGTTGTTGGTATTGTTATTATTATTTATATGATTTTTATTTTTATTGATTAAATTCATTTAGGGCAAATATATTCAACAATTATACGAATTTGAAACAAGTTCGGTGATTGCGTACGAAAAAGTGGTACCTTCTTATGCTCGTTTTGATGCAAAAAAGCAGCAGGAAATTGATTTATCAAAATCATGTCCTGACTATTTTGACAAACGTCTTGTACCAGATATTTCAATTTATCATACAGAGATTTTTATGAAAGATTGGTTAGGCAAAGATAATATATATATACAAATTCCAAAATGGGTCAAACAATATCAATTGAATCATGGTTTAGTTATTAATCCGACAGTACTAATTCCCAGTGTTAAGCCTGCTATAGAATTAATCTCCGAACCTTCAATCAAATTTATCGATTCACCTAAAATGTTAAATATTTCATACGTAGCAACGCAGAAAGATTTATTCCATAAAACAAATTACGCTGATATTTTCAGCAATTCTCAAAGTTTATTGGATAGTATTCCATTTGTGAACTTTCCCATTGACACTTCACCGGTAAATGTCATTCAGTGCGATATTATATATCAACAAATACAGTTGACCATCATTGAAAACGAGATTAAAATTTCTAACCAACTCGAAACCGCTGTTACGGAAGCATTAAAAACAGATAATCCATATCAAGAATTCGAGGAAATCTTTAAAGAATATGGACAAGTCTTCTGTTTGAGTTTTGTAATGGGTGAAAGACTAAGCAAATTAAGCGGATTTTCATATATTGAACAGGAAAACCTTGCAAAAATAATAAGTAATGAATTTAAAGAAATAACGAACTGTCAAAATGTTTTTAATGAGTGGAAAAACTTCCTTAGCCGATTTAATATGGATTCAACGAGGTTTGATTTGCCCAATGGCAATTCAACTGTTGACATTAACGACATAAATGATATCGATCTGCGTTTAAGGACTGTTCCTGAAAATCCTAATTCATGGAAAGTTATTAACCGTCTTCAGCTAATACCTATGTATAAGCTTCTTAATGATGATCTTCAGAAGGAAATAGAAATATTACTAAGCAATGAAGAAAAAATTTTGATGTATGGTGTTTCTAAGCTTGAAAATAATAAAATCCGCTACTATAATGTCAATTTTGGTTTTCATTTAAAAAGTGAAAATTATAAAATAATTGGCTCGATAATTTCAAATAAATTAAAGAGATTAGATTTAGATGTAAGGTTTCAAATGTTGACAGTTTCGGGATTTTCTATTATTATTGATAACAAAGAGATGTCAAAGGAAACAGCTGACAAGTATATACAGATTTATTATTAACGTATAACAATTGTTTATTTATTAAGTTAACATATATATTTTTTATCGTTAGTGATTTAATGGTCCATTGGTTATTAATCGGAAACCCATTGTCTGTCAAATACTTTAGCAAAACGACTAGAAATATGCAGATTTTGGCCGGCACAATCAGTATTATACTTTCAAATAAACAAAATATTTATGTGATCGATGTAAAGGAAGAAATGGATAAGGTGGGATTGCCATCATTGTCACCGGATTGCATTATTCTGCATACATTTGAATTTCTTGTACCAAATTTTAATCTCAAATTTCAAGCAACTCTAAAATCATGGTATACTAAATAACTTGTTCAATGTTCAAATAAATCTATTTTATTGATGGAAATGATATAACTTTAGGACAAAGACAAAAATCAGTTTGGAAGTTACCAATTATTCATTTGAAGAAATTAATTCGATGCTCGAAGATGAAGCTTTGGGATCATTGATACAAAATTCTTGCAATTTAGCCTGGTATATAATATATTCTATGCAACAAGCAGTACCAGATTATAAATCACATAAAATACCCTGGATGTATTTAGGAAATTATCTCAAAAAAGGTAATCTTGGATGCTTACCAATGTTTTTTAACAACTTTCTTTTAACAAGAATGTTAAATTTTGTTCAATAATAAGAATTGTATGATAATCCTTCGACTGTCGAGTCACATATAGTTTCTTTGTCTAAAACGTCAAATACAAAAGGCGATAGCTCATCAGATATAATTACCCAGCTCACCAATGTTTTTGATGTTTTTGATCATATGAATGGTCCGAATGAAATATTCTGGCTTGGTTATTGTTACGAATATGGGATTGGTGTTGAAAAGGATGAGAACAAGGCATTTATTTATTATCAAAAATCCGCAGAGATGAATAATCCTAGCGGAATATATCAAGTTGGTTATTGTTATTATTTAGGAATTGGTGTTGAAATGGATATGCATAAAGCGTTTATGCATTATTTAAGATCTGCTGAGGCTGGTAATTCTATGGGAATCCGAAAAACTGTTGCTTGTTATTATTACGGAATTGGTGTAGAAATGAGTAAAGATAATTTCAATTATTGGATTAATAAGTAAGTTATTTATTAATTTTTCGGTAAAAAATTCAAAAATAAAACCTCTTAAAAGCTATTTAATTCCTTAGGGAGTAAGTATAATAAGTATAATGAAAATCACATTAAATATAAAATTCCAAAATAATATGATTCAAATTTATTTTATCCACGTTAACTTAGTTCGTAAGTACTATATTAATTTAAGTATTAAAATAAGCTATTCAAGCTCATGACTGTTCATATTTCATTTTATCTGCGTTAATTTAGTCAGTGAGTATAAAGAACATATTAATCTAAGTAATTAAAATAAGCTATCAATCAAAGTTTATGAATATTTATTATTTATTTGCATTCATTTAGTCCGTGAGTATAAAAAACACTTATTAATCTAGTATTTAAATAAGCTATTCAAGTATTTGAATATTTATTATTTAATTTCGTTTTATTTGCGTTAATTTAGTCTGTGAGTATAAAGAACATTATTGATCAAAAAATTTAAAATGTTATTCAAGTTCGCAAATTTATTGTTAATTTTATTCATTCTTGCTAATTTAGTCGGTGTGTATAAATAATATTTATTAATTCGTGATTCTTTTGTAAAGGATAGTATTGTTATAGTAAAAGTTGGGGGAATCTAATATAAGCTTTATAATAGAGCTGAATCTAGCTCCACCCACAAGGTAAGTCATCTTTCTTTCAAGATAACCTTTATTGGAGCTTTAATAAAAGTCGTAGAGCTGACTTTTGTGGTTCTAAGATCGTTAAAATTGGTCTGGTAGTTGCTGAGATATCTTATTTTTTCTCTTTACAGTCATATAAAATTTCTTTAAAATTTTTAAAGAAATTTTATATGATTGTAAAGAGAAAAATTAAGATATCTCAGCAACTACCAGACCAATTTTAACGATCTTACTACAATTAGAACCACAGAAGTCAGCTCTACGACTTTTATTAAAGCTCCAAGAAAGGTTATCTTGAAAGAAAGATGACTTACCTTGTGGGTGGAGCTAGATTCAGCTCTATTATTAGATTCCCCCCAACTTTTACTATAACAATACTATCCTTTACAAAAGAATCACGAATTAATCTAATTATTTAAAATAAACTACATGAATATTTAATCTTTTATTCGCATTAATTTAGCGAGTGAGTATAATAAACATTTATTAAAAACAATCTATTCAATTCATGAATTTTCCGTTTAATTTCATTTTTTGCATTAATTTAGTAAGTGAGTATAAAAAAGCAGTATTTTAAATAAGCTGTTTAAGTTCATGAATATTTCTATTTATATACAGAAACTTAAATCTTTAATGCGCAGTAAATATGTAGTTACGATTAAATTGTAATAATAACTATGTAATTATTACGTCTTTACTATGCAGTTACTACATATTTAAGATATTTAAGTTTCTGTAAAGTAAGTTCATTTATTTGCGCAAACTTAGCGAGTGAGCGTAAAGAAAATTTATTAACGAAATCAGATTAAAATAAATATGGGCATTTTTATAGCATGTTTTTTTATATTTATTAATAAAAAAAATAGTATATATGATTCTGAAGATAAATAGAAGCCCTAATTTTATCTTAATCTGATTTCATGCTAATCTGCGATATTATTAATTCGAGTGTTTTAACTAAGCTATTTAATTTTATTATAGAATGTGAGTATATTAATTTAAATATTTTTTTAGAAATATGTATCAGTCCATGAATATTTACTATCAATTTATTTTTATTCGTGTTAATATAGTTTGTAAGTATAAAAAACAGTTATCAATCTGAGTATTTTAAATAAGTTATTCAAGTTTATAAATATTCTTATTTGGCCTATTTTGTTCTCGTTAATTTAGAGAGTGAGTATAAGAATATTATTAATCTAAATATTTAAAATAAGCTGTTCATGAATACTTACTATTTTATTCGTGCTAATCAGTCGGTAAGCATAAAAATAATTTTATTTAAATTGTCGCATGAATAATTTGAATTTCTAAAATATAATGCAATTGATGATTTTAAGACATTCTGAATATGGAAAATGTGCACATTGCAATAAATATAACACGGACGACGCATGGTGTCAGGCATGTGATCCTGACATAACAATTCGAAGTTGGACAAGTGGAAATAAGGAGATTGATAATTATATAAAAGGGTTTCAACTTAGAATTTGGAAGTACGAAGACATGATTGAATGGATTCCATTTGACAGAATAGACGATATTAAAAAAATTGGACAAGGAGGATTTGGTTCTGTATATTCTGCGATTTGGTCGGATGGCGTACGAAAACTTAAGAAAGATAATAAGAGCTATGTGCGAACACGTGAACCATTTAGCATAGTTGCACTCAAAACCTTATCTGACTATATGAAAAATTCTCACAATTTTTTAAATGAAGTAAGTTTAATCATTAAGTTTATTGAACACATACAATTTAAACTAATTTATTTACATAAATTTCTAAAGTTTGAAAGTCATTTGATATGTAATAAAGTATGGGGTAGTAAACTCCAAATATATGGATTAACTCAAAGTACAAAAACAAATGAATACTTGATTGTATTTCAATATGCAGATGATGGAAATCTTTATAAGTTTTTAAGATCAAAATTTCGAGTTCTTACCTGGCTGACTAAACTAAAATTACTTCAAGATATTTCAGATGATTTATCGAAAATTCATAGTGCAGGGTATATTCATTCAGACTTCCACAGTGGTAATATTCTGCAAGATAAAGGAATTAGTGAGAGTATACAATCTTATATTTCAGATCTAGGATTGTCTAAAGAAGAAGATAATGAATCAGAAAGTTGTATTTATGGAGTCATGCCTTATGTCGCACCAGAGGTTTTATCAGGTCAAAAGTTTACACCAGCTGC